CCCTTATCCATTGCAGTGCCCTCCCTTTTACATGCGCCTGATCCTCCAGCTTCTGCACTAATCTCTTGTGGGAACTGTGTCAAAGGCCTTCCTGCAGTCTAGGAAAACGCAATCTAACCCACCCTCTCTCTCGTGTCTTACTTCTGTTTACCTTGTCATAAAACTCCAGGAGGTTTGTGATACAAGATTTGCCTTCCATGAACCCATGCTGGTTTTCATTTATAATCTTGTTCCTTTCCAGGTGTTCGACCACTCTCCCTATAATCTTCTCCAAATTTTGCATACTATACACGTCAAGACCGGGTCTAAGTTTAGTGCTTTTTTCTGTCTCCTTTTTTAAAAAGGGGGAACTACTTTGGCCTTTTCCATCCTCAGGTAGTTGCCCAGTTTCCAGGATGTTAAGATTGTGGAAGGGGCCCACGACAACATACGCCCCCTCTCTAAGACCCAGGGGAGATGTTGCCCGGGTCCCATTCCCTTTTTTGAGGTATGAGGTCCCTTAGCATTTCTTCACCTCCCCCTCATTTTATGAAAGTCGTCCAACACTTTTGGGTATTCCTTTGGTGTCCCCATCTGGCTGTCCCCCCAAGCCCTTCCTGCTCTACTGTAAATATTCCCCTTAAATCTCGTTTTGAGCTCCTCACATACCTCTTATCGTTTTTTGTGGTTCTCCACCTCTTTCCTCAGCCTTATCCCCTGTCCTTGACTGTTGTTTTCCCCTATTGGCTATAAGCATTTTTCGGGTCAGATTTGACTTTCGATGCTATGTCGTTTTCATACTGTCGCTGGGCCCCCCTCCTTATCTGGCATACTCGTTTTCTGGCTCTTCCTAATCCCCTTGTTTCCGGGGTCCTATGCCTCCGCCCTTTTCCATTCTCTTTTGCACTTAGTTTTTGCCTCCCTACCCCTTCGGTAAACCAAGGACTCGTTTTGGTCTTCCTATTTTTTTCTTTTCCCCTTGGGAACAAAACTTTTCCCTCTGCCTCCTTGCACTTTGTTGCCACATATTCCATCATCCGTTTCTGTTTTCCTACCATTTTTTTTGTCCCACTAACCTCCTGCAGGAATTTTTCATACCTTGTAGTCCCCCTTTTTTAGTTTGGCCTGTCCCCTTTAGTTCCTGTTTCCTTCTCCACTTGTAACCTACTATATTCAAAACTCGAACCCCTGATCGCTAGCTCCCAAAGGGCCCCTCGTAAGTGAGTCCTCCAAAATCTGAACGCTCAGGGGAACACAAATCCAGTCTTTCTGGCTCATCCCCCCTCTCTCTCTGGGTTTGCCCCGACATGTTGATGCATGAGGTTTTCAAGTACCACACCCATCTTTGGGTCTCCATGTTTTTGGGACCCCCAAGTGGCTCCAGGGTTTCCCAACGATCTCCCTGTGGTTGAAATCGCCCCTTTCCAGTAACTTTTCTCTGCTCGAGTGAGCCTTCTTTTCCACCTCAGCCAGTGTGTCCCCCATCACCCGTTGTTTTCTTGTACTCCCTCTTGGGCCCCCTGAGTTCTGGGTGGGGGTTTTACACACTCCAAAGACCTTTATGTTCCCGACTGAATTGTACCACAATGTAGTTCTTTTCCCCCCAATCATGTCCAGCCCCTTCCATTTCCCTCAAATCCCCATGGGGTTTTATGAGCATGCAACCCCCCTCCCCCCCCTCCCTTCTTCTTTTTCCCCAGGATCTGATATCCCCCTTGGGAAGATTGTGTCTGTTATTGTCTCAGCGAGTTTTGTTTCTGTGACTGTTGGTTGGGGTTTTTTTGGGTTTTTTGGGGGGTTTTGTTTTTTGTTTTTTGTTTTGTTTTAGTTTTTTTTTTTGTGGTTTGGTTGGGGTTGGGGGGGAAGGTTTGGGGGGGGTTTTGGGGGTGTGTAGGGGGGTTTTGTGTGTGGGGTGGGGTGTTTAAAGGGGTGTTGGGGTGGGTTTTGTTGGGGGTTGTGGGGGTGGTGGTTTTTTTAGTATGGTTTTTGTTGGTTTTGGGTGTGGTTGGGTTTTGGGGGGAGATTTGGGGGGGTGTTTTTTGTTTTTGTGGGTTTGGGGTTTTTTTTGTATTTTTGTTTCCCCCTTGGTTTGTCCCCCTTTTTAGGGGGTTTTTTGGTTTGTCCGTCGAGGAAATATCTCTTTACCCCTTTTGTCCCTCATTTTGCCCCTTTTCTTTAAGAAAATTGGGTTGCTGATTCTTTCCTTTTGGGTTACCTTTAAGGGACCCTTCCCCCCTCCAAACCACCCAATTCTCTTAAAATTTGTCACCTGGGTTTATCGCCCTTACCCTTTGTTTTTGAGTTAAAACATTTTTTTCTCCCCTTTTTTATTTTCTTCAAAGGGTCCCCCCCCTTTGGGTTTTACCCGTAACCTGATTTTGCCCTTTTTCCCCCTCCCACTATCCCCTTGCTTCCCCTGGGCATTTTATTTTCCTTCCCTTTGACATTTTCTTCCCTTCATTTTCCCCTGTCTTTATCGAAACTTCTTTCCCCCGGAACTGTTTTTATGACCCGCAGCCCCCCTTCTCTCGTTGGCTGTTAAATCTCTCTAATAAACCTTTTCTCGACCCCGGTTTTTCAAAGGGTTTTCCCCGTCTTTTTTCCCTTTCCCCCCCTGGGCAAATAGGTTCCCTTTCTCAGTTCCGGGTTTCCGCCCCTTGCTTCCTTTAATTGAATTTCCCGATGCACATCTGAATTTTTTGTTTTTTGTTGGTTTGGTTTTTTTTGTGTTTGTTTGTGGTGTTTTTGTTTTATGTTTTTTTCTTTTCCAACTCACTACTTCCCATTCCCCCCTCTTCCTCCCTTTTTTGGGGCTCTCTCCCACTTTCCCCCCTGGGTTGTTCCACATCTTTAGGTTTTCCTCCTCTAGGGCCCCATTTTTTTTTTTTTTTTTTTTTTTTTTTTTTTTTTTTTTTTTTTTTTTTTTTTTTTTTTTTTCACATTGAGAGAGGACTTCCTAGCTTCCTAAGTATTCTTACTGCTAATAACTACCGGATAACACTGCTGTGTGCGTGTGTGATGTGTGTGTGTGTGATGTGTGTGTGTGTGAGTGTTTGTGGTGTGTAATGTACCCTGTGTGTGTGTGCTTGTGTGTGGGGAGTGAGGGTAGGGAGGGTTAGGGGTGGTTTGAGTCCAGTCTGTGGCCCTGCTCTTACTGTCCGCATTAGGCTCACTCTCCCTATTGCCTTGACTTTACATAATGTGCTGTTATAATTTCCTTGTAATGGATTTCCTAGCTCCATACTTCGCTTACTCCGAAACACTGCCTTGTGCTGTGACTATTTGTGTGATGTGTGTAATTCTGTGCTGTGATTCATACTGTGTGTTCTTCATGTTTTTGTACTCCCTAGTTGAGGTGCGGGTGTCCAAGCTCTTGCCCCGACCTATCACTGTCGCTCTAGTCCTCTCTGAACCTTGTTTCATACCTGCTTAAGCTATGTATGGATGTCGCCTACTCATCGCTCCCACTATTCCCTCCTGCTACTCTGTGCTAGAATACTTCGTAACATCCTGTGATTCATGTTCTTCACTTCAACTGTGTCCCTCGTACTGTTACCAATTACTCTGGAACTCCTGTCTTGTACTTGCAATCCTTCATTTTGTAGTCTTTCACCCCCTTCTCTCTGTCCTCCAGTTCGTGGTTGTTCCTTAACCTGTCCATCGTAATATCCATTTAGACTTGGACATGGTCTGTTAACGACTTTCTCTTAGTTTCTTAATGCTTGTCTAGGTGTGGTTCCAACTGGGCCCACATACTCAGTACAGGTGTGTCGTGGTGAACGATACTTTTGAGTGTCGGAATGCTGTGTCTGAGGTTTGCTGGGCCCATAGTGTTTGGTGTGTGTGTGTGTGTGTGTGTGTGTGTGTGTGTTTTGTGTTTGGTGGGGGGTGTGTGTGTGTGTGTGTGTGTGTGTGTGTGTGTGTGTGTGTGTGGTGTGTGTTGTGTGTTTTGGGTGTGTGTGTTCATAACACCTCACTGTATTTCTTGTGTTATAGCAGGCCGAGTGATGTTATCACTCGGGCTGAATGCACTCAGATACACTGGGTGTGTCGAGCCTTTCCGGTTCTTCCCACCCTTCATCTCTGGTCATGTTCGAGATACATTGTCTTATAGTATTCTACAACATTGCCTCCATTAGTCTGCCCCTTATATGCTCCCCTTGTCTGCTCCATTATGTAGTTCCCTGTTATTCAGGCTGTTTCCTTGTCATTGTTGTTGCATTGTTGCCATGGCTCTAGGACATCATTATTCTTTTTTTACCTTGGCCCTGTTGCACTCCTAGAATATTGCCACTACTACCTAAAGGTCACCCTAGAGTGGCAACTGCAGTGTCTTTAGTTTTACCGCTCTTAATTCCTCACAGCTCTTCTAAACTTCACTGGCACTATATTAGCAGTGTCATTTCTCCACAGGTTTTGTTTCCATGTTCCCAACTTGTTCAATCATGTAATTTTTTTTTTTTTTCTTAGATTTTTTTCCAACCGCTAGTTGGATATTTGCCTCTCTTGTTTTTCCTATTGTGTAGTTGTTAGTGCCCTTCAGTTTCCAAGTCTCTCATTTCTATTTTTCTAACCTGTCTTCTCAGCCTGTTTCCTCTTTTTTTTTTATTGCTGTATTTATCGTCCCATGAGTTTTTTCCTCTGATGGCAACGCGAGGCCTAAGGCAGAGGGGGTATGGAATAGGATGGACATTTGTAATCAAAAAATGGTGTGGGAGGAGGGGGATTAAATGGACAAGAGGGATGCTTGCGAGAAAGGGTTGGGAAAGGCTTGTTTTCCTGACTTTCTTCTTCTTTGAGTTCGCCTTGGGTTTAGGAGGCTTTTCTCTCCATTCTTCTTAGTTCTCCATCCTTTCCCTCTTCCTCTTCTCCCAAATATTCCTCTCCTGATAGCTGTGTTGTATTTTTGATCAATGTGGCGTCTGAAAGGTTAAATTCCGTATATAAGAGCTTTGTCTCAGAGTTGATCCCTTTGTATCTCTTGCAAATTAAATGTTCTGTGATCTTTATTGGTCTTTCAGGTTCCCTGTTGAGCCTCGTGTAGAATCTATCAACTTTTTCCTTCGTGGAGCATCTCCAGAATATAGTCCTCATCTAAATGTGGTAATTTTAGGGGCTTATTTTTCATCTTATTCCATTTCATTCTTCAATATGTTCTCTGATCTGTTATTTTATGCCATCTCCAGCTCCCTTAATTTAAATTCTTATCCTCTTTTTGACTATTTAACCTTATAAGCATGGAACTGCTTAACATTGACAAATGTCATTTTTTTTTCCCTTCATTCCAATGTTTCTATTTTCTGTCACTTTTTCCTTCGGGCATTCTATTAGTTATGAGAAGGATGGTAGTTTTGGGGGTTAATTTTGCATATTATCTTTGTTCTCTTATATTTCATGCTCCAGTCCCTTTTTTCATACTTCCTCTGCTTTTTATATTTATCCTAATATAAGCATCGACTAATTTTATGAACAAACCTTTTTTGTTCCACAAGTATTCGTTTTTCATTTGATCTGTACTCACACGGGACTTATTTTTTTGGAGGCCTAGCCAATTTTGGCCTTACACATCTTGCAGTTTTCTCCTTCTCTTCTTTTCTCTCTTCTTCGATCTTCTCCTCTTCTCTCCTCTTCATCTCTTTCTCTACTCTTCTTCCAATTTTCTCAATACCTTTTTGTGTTCCTCATCTCTTTTTCATTCTCACATTCTCTCCAGGACATTCTCTTTTTTGGCTCTCATTTTCTCTCCATTTCCTCTCTTCTCTCTCTTCTCTCTCTCTCTCTCCTCTCTCTCTCTCTCTCTCCTCTCTTTTCTCTCTCTCTCTCTCTCTCTCTCTCTCTCTCTCTCTCTCTCTCCCCTCTGTTTTTTGCCCCCCACAATTTTTTCCTCGATTATTCATTCCAGTATATGTCTGCCGTAACCTTGGAAGGTATTATTTCAGATCCCTTTACACTTTCGCACAAATCTCAGTGAGGTTGTTGCATTTGGTGTTCTCGCTGTGGCCACAACTACCTTCCTTCACTGCTCAGCTTCACACCACCAACTCTGCCACCACTTTGTTTCTACATCTTTCGCTGAACGTATTGACTTATTTTCATATTTATTATACCGCTGATGTCTTTTTCAGTTATTTCCCAGGGATTCCACAAACACCGATTCCAACCCACTCACGTGGGGGTCCCTCATCTAGCATCATTGTGGCTCATTTGAATGCTTATCTGTCCCCACATGTCCTCGAACTTCACTCTAAGTATTTTGAACGCCATAATCATGTCTCCCTTGGTCCTTGTATTTTCTAATGTCATTAGGCTCTGTTCTTGTAGTCTCGCCTCATCGGTCATACCTCTTAACTCAGTGACAAGTCATGATGCGAACCAGGATATACTTGATCAGGTTTGGGTTCTATGCTGTTACTGTGTACTAATAGGTGTGATGCACTCGTGTGTGTGCACGGAGTTATGTGTTGGATAATTGAGTCTCAGCTCCTGGTCCCGCGTCTCTGTAAGGAAGACCGAAACCATTGTTTTGTTAATGGTTTAGTTGGTGAATAAGACACATTTGGAACACCTGGGAATCTGGAGGTAAAAAAGATCTATTTTATTGATCAAGAAATTAGAAATGTTTTAAACCAGTGCATACGTGTTTTTTTAAACCTAAAACACCTGGTATTCCACAAAAAGGCACCCAAGAGTAGCACAGTTCGTTTTCAAGGGAAAACCGCACGACACATTCGGCCCCCAATGTTTACAGCAGGAGACCGAAGGCACAGCTCTGGTTTTAAAATGGCGCTTCTGCCCTATATTTGATGATTAATTCGGGAGAATTTTTCCCGAATTAAACCTGCTAGGAATTTTATAATACTTTTTTCTTACCCCCCGGCGTGTTTTGAGAGCAGTACCCGTTCTAGAAAATAGTTTTTTTTTTTTTTTGCTTTTTTTTTTTTTTATTTAAATGAAGGAAAAAACCCCCAAGAGGTTTTTAAATTTTTTTTAATGCAACAAAAGGACGAAATTTTTCCCCCTTTCTTTTTTTATTTCCCCTTTCCCCCCGGGGGGAAAAGGCCTTCTTTTTTTTTTTCCTTTTCCCCTCTTTTTCCTCTTTTTTTCTTTTTCTTCCCTCCTTTTTCTCCTCTTTTTTTTTTTTTTTTTTTTTCTTTTTTTTTTTTTTCTTTTTTTTTTCTTTTCTTTTCCTTTCTTTTTTCTTTTTTTCTTTCTTTTTTTTTTTACCTTTGGAAAAAAGGGGGACTTTTAAAACTTTTTTCCTTTTCCCCCCCCCCTTTTCCCTTTTTCCCCTTCTTTTTCTTTTTTTCCCCAGTTATAAAAATTTTTTCATAAATATTGGTCACCGTACACTATTAGGGGGACTGTGTGTGTACCTGTGTTTGTGGACACATGGGGGGGGATTTTTACAGTTTTTGTGTAAAGAAAAAATTGGTGTAAGTAATAAAACATTGGTGTACAAAAAAAATTGAATGAGAAGGATACAATTTATTTTTAACAGGGGTTTGTGTTTTGGGAAAGTGGGGTGAGTAGACAATTTTACACAGGTGTGAATATGGACAAGTTTTAAAAAGGCCGTGTAACAGTGTAGTGGAATTTTTCAAGGTATGTGACACATTGTTACCAGTGTAGTAGCCCACATGTTTTTAGACCAGTGTGAAACCGTGTATGTAGAACACTGTGTTCAATTGCTTAGGCCCCACAATGTGTAGTAAACAGTGTTGAATACTGTGTGTAAGACATTGAGTATACACATGGGGTTTTTTGCAAAATTTTGCATATGACGCTTTTATATGTAACATTGCAATTTTAGACACATTGCGTGTAACATTGCTGAGAACACCGTGTTCCCCGAGTTACATGGAGAGTATTCTGGAATCAACCCCCCGCGGCCCGGGCCCTGACTGGGCCCTCCCGGTGGATCAGGGCCTGATCAACTTACTGCTGGCCCACATGCCCAACTACGAACCACAGCCCGGCGATCCATACTGACTTTATTATCGCCCCCATCCTCTTGAAGACAACCAGGGGTCTATCGGGAATTCCCCATGTAGCTGGGGAGGCGTTTGAACAGTCTTCGGTCCGGACACTTATTGCGTTTTTTCTTAGTGTAAAGGTTCCCCTACTTTTTTTGGGTGTATATTGCACGCCTGCCCAAACTTTTTCTTTCGTAGGGAGTGTTTTTTTGGGCAGATTAGGACCCGTCCCTCTGGATTTTTCCCGGTGTAGATTATGATTTATCTTTCTCCCTGCGCTCCTGAGTACAATCAAATCTTCTAAGGGTTCCCTTTGTTAAGGTGTTTGATGGAACTTATATGTGCGTAAAGGTTCCTGTGCTTCTCAGATCTGTAATTTTTACCTGCCTTGAAAAGGAATGTTAATGTACAGCAATATTTCCGCCCGACAGAACAATGATTTAAAAAGGACCATCCTGGCTTGGGATCTCTTTTTCTTTAATGTTTTTCATTATCCATCTTGAGTTCCTGCAGATGTGATGTGGCATTTTTGTTTTCCTTAAGGTGAGATCCTCAAACATTACCATTCCCAGGTCCTTCACATTACTTTCCCCTCCCTTTTGTGATTAGAGTTTTTTATACACTCAGTCCTATTATTATTTCCTCAGTTTTCCTAACGGATAGTTGGGAAATTTTTCTTCATTTAACATCATATTTTCCCCGTTGCCCATTGGAAAATTGTTAAAATCTTCTTTAGCTTTGCCGTGTCCTCAATGGATGACATCTCAGCAGATCCTAGATCGTCTGTAAAAATAGATACAGTGTGTTACACATTGCATTGTAACACACTGGTTACACATTGCATGAGCACATTTTTGTTCACAGCGAATTTTTTAAATTTCCCAAAATCTGTTTTCTTCATTTATTTTGTCAAAATAATTATTAATTTTGGTTAGTAATTATGTATATATTTATATTTGTGTCTGTCTCAATGTAAGCACGTCTCAGTGCCTGCAAGCATGTCTGTCTGTCTGTCTGTCTGTCTGTCTGTCTGTCTGTCTGTCTGTCTGTCTGTCTGTCTGTCTGTCTGTCTGTCTGTCTGTCTGTCTGTCTGTTTGTCTGTCTGTATATCTGTCTGTGCACTCACTCATCATAGTTTATACAAACGACAACAACAACATCAACAACAATAACAATAGCAGCAATAACGACAACGATAACAACAACGACAGCAGCAGCATCAACTACAACAATAACAACAACAGCAGCAACAAAAACAGCAACAGCAGCAACAATAACAACAACAGCAGCAACAAAAACAACAAGAACAGCAACAATAACAACAACAGTACCAACATCAATACCATCAACAACAAAACAAAAACAACATCAACAGCAAAATAACAAAGACAACAACAACAACAACTACACAGATGGAGAAAATGCTTGGATATGTCTTTGTTTAAAATTGGTTGCCATGGCAACATCACAGCCCCTTGTCACGTGCCATTTTTATCCCCTTCACCCCTTCTCTCTCTCTCTCCTCTCTCTCTCTCTCTCCCCTCTCTCTCGCTCTCTCTCCTCCCCTCCTCTCTCTCTTCTCTCTCTTTCCCCTCTCTCTCTCTTCTCTTCTTTTTCTATTTCTCTTTTCTTTTCTCATACTCTCTCTCTCTCTCTCTCTCTCTTCTCTCTCCCCCTCCCCTCTCTCTCTCTCTCCTCTCTCTTCTCTCTCTCTCTCTCTCTCTCCACTCTCTCCATTAATATATTAATTATATATAATATATATAAATATATTATAAATATATATATATATATATATATTATATAATATAATTTTATTTTTTTTTTTTATTATCACACCGGCCGATTCCCCCCAAAGGGCAGGGGGGCCCCAAAAAAGAAAAACTTTCACCATCATTCACTCCATCACTGTCTTGCCAGAAGGGTGCTTTAACTACAGTTTTAAACTGCAACTTTAAAACACCCCTCCTTCAGAGTGCAGGCACTGTACTTCCCATCTCCAGGACTCAAGTCCGGCCTGCCGGTTTCCCTGAATCCCCTTTATAAATGTTACTTTGCTCACACTCCAACAGCACGTCAAGTATTAAAAAACCATTTGTCTCCATTCACTCCCATCAAAAACGCCTCAAA